CCCAAACACTGCCCTTCTGCTCTCCCATGCTTGATGGCTCGATCGCTCTAGGGAGTGTATCTGCCTGGTGGCAACGCTCACGCCACATGCCTGTGATGAACCAATTTTGAAACATTAACCACAGTGCAAGGTTGACATGAGGGGTCTCTCGGTGTCCTGCAGTCTTCTGGGTCCTGACAAGTGCACCATGCTCATAGCCTCACACTAACTGGTGCTGTGCCTTTTGTCCCTGCTTTTTCCTCCGCCTGAAATGCCATGACCTGCTGCTCCTGGTCCTCGTGCGGGGCGCTGCCTGGGCCTGCCCGCCTTTTGGGGTAGGCGGACGCTCACGTTGAGTGATCTCACCATCTCTGCCTCTGGTTCTCTGCCTAGCGCCGGACGCACTAAGCCGACCAGCCAGCGAAGCTTTAACTGGAGAGCGAGGAGGAAGCCTAGCAGGACGCGCCTGCGCAGCCCGCAGCTTTCCAGCGGCACTGCCGTTCCCGGCGAAGGTTTATTCTGATTGGCTTAAACCGCAGGCCCGGCAGCATAGGCGGAGGGAGAGCCTCGGCCCGCCCTCCGCGCCTTGCGTCAGTCCCTTCCGGTTCGCAAGCCGCAGCGGGTTTCGTTCCCAGGCTCTGATTGGTCCCAGGCGGCGGGGGCGGGCTCCGCGCTGTCCCGGGCCTCGGTGCGGCGCGCCAAGCTGCAGCGGTACGCGGAAAATTGCGGCGGCTCTATGGGCCGACTGCGCACTCTCCCTGCCCCTCTGGCTCGGCCCGCCCTCCTGCCCTCGGCGCCTGCGGCTTGGGCTAGCGGGGTGGGTGCTCGGTTTTTCCTCTGCTCGCCTGCAAGTGCGCTTTGAAGGGTTGGGTTTCCTGGGCGGAGGGGAAGGGGAAGCCGCAAGCCCTTCTGGCCCTTGGGGCCCAGCGCTTCCCCACCTCTGCAGCCCCGGCCTCCCAAACTGTTTTGCTGGGGGCAGGCCCCAGGGCCTCCTCTCCTGGGTATGATCCTAGACAAACCTACACGTTGCCTTGACCTCTGAAGCCCCTTAGGGAAAGCTGACAACCTCCACTGAGCTCCTAGTGTCCATCCAGCAGGCCCCAGGACCCTCCCGGACCCACAGATCTGGTCCGGGCCTTGTGCACAATCACAGGATTCGATCCTGCTGAAAGGCGTCAGTGGAGCTAAGCGTGGAGCCAGCAGTGGGGCCCGGTTTCCTGACAAGCTTTGAATGCTACTGAGAGTCCTGACAGGCAGGGCGGAGTCAGGAAAGGGCTGAAGACGTTTGCAAGTGGGGCTCATGAACTTGGCTCATGAACTTGGGCAGATGCTTGTGTAGGCTGGTGCCCTGTGCCCGGCTCTGCCGGATAGATGAGGGAGCTTTGAGGACCAGACACGGCTCAGAGGGGAAAGGTCAGGGGGTGTTGGGGTTAGCTGATGAGGGGCATGGTCTCTGGTACCCCTTGGCCTGAGGCGGCAAGGGGACATGTGGGTCACCCTCCTGACACAGGTGCACGTTCGAGTGTGGGTGTGCCTGTCTGCCGGAAGAGTAGGAAGCTTGCCTGTCTTGCAGGAGGACTCCTGCTGAGACTAGCTGCCAGAAGCCCTGGGCCTGCTGGGGTCTGTCCAGCTCCCATCCATGAAGCCCCAGGCCCTGTGGAAGCAGGCTGACCTAGAGAAGGGTCTTGGCACTGAGGGTGGGCACATTTTCCCTGCAGAGCAAGA